AGAATATGGTTCTGCGTCTAGAGATATTGCGGAAGCTGGTGAAACACAAAGGTTGTGTGAACACAGTGAGCTTCAATGCAGGAGGAGATATTCTGATTTCAGGTTCTGATGATCGTCGTGTTGTTCTTTGGGATTGGCAACTTGGGAACGTTAAGCTTTCGTTTCATTCAGGACACGCTAATAACGTATTTCAGGCAAAGTTTATGCCTTTCTCTGATGATCGAACCATTGTAACTTGTGCTGCTGATGGAATGGTAAAATAATATCCTTTTGTGAAGTTCTTTCTGTTTGTGTCACACTTTACTTAGTTAGCTTTTGTCCGAATATCTTTAGGTTCGACGTGCAAGTGTTCTTGAGAGTGGGAAAGTGGAGACGTCTTTCTTGGGATTGCATCAAGGACGAGCTCATAAGCTATGTATCGAGCCAGGAAACCCTCATATATTTTACACTTGTGGTGAAGATGGATTAGTACAACGTGTGAGTGCTAGCTGCTTGGATCTACTTTAGAATCCTTATACTTAATTCGATTAAAGAAATTCTTAAAATTTGGATTCTTCCTCATTTCAGTTTGATCTGAGGACTCTAGCCCCTACAGAACTTTTCATATGCCAATCAGTTGATCCTAGGAGGAGCAATATGGACGCCATCCAGCTAAACGCAATTGCAATCGACCCGAGAAATTCCAACCTTTTTGCTGTTGGTGGAATGGACGAGTATGCTCGTCTTTATGATATCCGTAGATTTCAGGGAGATGGTTTAAACGATTTTAGCCGAGCTGCAGATCATTTTTGCCCTCCACACCTTATTGGCAATGAACAAGTTGGGATAACGGGTTTGGCGTTCTCAGAGCAAAGTGAGCTCCTTGTTTCATACAACGATGAATTCATCTATCTTTTCGCGCATGATATGGGATTAGGGTCTAACCCTATCCAATCCTCTCCGGTGTCCAAGAGTAGTGAATCAAAATCAGAATCGGCTTCTTCTCCAAAAGATGATAGCAACCATTTAGTTCCTATGGTTTATAAGGGGCACAAGAACTGTGAGACGGTTAAGGGTGTGAATTTTTTTGGACCTCGGTCTGAATATGTGGTTAGTGGGTCAGACTGTGGCCGGATATTTATATGGAGTAAAAAAAGTGGAGAGCGTATACGTATTATGGAAGCAGATAGGCATGTAGTTAACTGTATCGAGCCTCATCCGCATATACCAGTGCTTGCTAGCAGCGGAATTGAAAGTGACATCAAGGTATGGACCCCAACGGCAGCTGAGAGAGCGACATTACCTGAGAACATCGAACTGGTATGCTTTAACACTGCATTCATTATGATTTGATTGTTATTTGCATTTCAGTTTCTGCTAGAAACCACTAATGAAAGCAATAAGGTGTGATACTTTTGCTTGCCTCTATGATAATTTGCAAAATACATAGAGGTCGATTGTTAAAAGCTGATACTGTTGCTTTGTTTGAAAAGTTGACCTTTTGGTTAAGATACATGACATCAAACTAATTTGGCTACTGTTGCTTTGTTTGAAAAATGTCCAGTTACCGAGTCGCTTTCGCATTCCTTGGTTATCCTTTCTTAGCTTCC